AAAATGTGCACTAATGACAAGATTTCACAGTACATGCTTATGAATTTTTCTGTCAATGTCAAAGACATGCCAGTCAAATAGGAATAGCCTGATTTTTTTTAAATGTAACGCTATTAACCAGTAAATTGACTGTGAGGTTACAGCAGGCTACAGGACATGCCACGCTCAAATAAGATCAGCAAAGATATTATTTGACCTCTATCTTTAAGGCTTATAGGAAAATCTGACGTCAACGTAGCATTTAAAAAGCTATTTGACTCAAAGGACCCACCTTCCACTCCAATGTTAGTTGATTTACTCACATTTACACCTTGGCCATCTAAATGTTTGTGCAGGCACAAAAACAGCCATCAGCATTAACTATGTGTCTCGTAAACAGATCACTATAGTAGACAAGTCAAAAAAGTGACACTTATGGGGAACTGGACCCAAGTGAAAGTGCCAGTTTTGCAGCTTTTTTGATGTGAAGGTGTTAAATAGTATTTCTACTGGGAGATTACAGCAGGCTATAGAACATGCCAGGGTTATACAGGAGAAGCCAGTATTTGACTTCACCTAACTCTACTGAGCAGGAACTCTCCTGTCAGGCTACAGCGAGCTACAGGGCATGCTGGTCAACACAAAGACAGAGCACAGGCTACAGACAATGCTGACCATGTCAAAACCCTACACCATAGAAAGGTTACATTACTCTGTGTAAGTCCTGCCAGAGAAATCAAATCAACAAACACATTACAGCAGCAGTCATTGTTAAGACAATAAAAACAACAAAATCAGAATTATGAGGTGGAACAATGTAAATTGCCTATACAAAAAAGAAATTAATAAATTACTCTTTAATGGTACATAAGTCTGATACGTCTGAAGGCACAGACAAGGGCCCTCCACTTTTCTTATTAAACTTTACTTTAATGGTAACAACTAATTTGTAGTTACTACTGTAAATATGTAGCAAGATATCTGAAAATAGCGCATGTATGAACAACTTTAAATGTCATGCTACACACAAAAAAGTTGGTGCTGCAAATACAAGATGAGAAATTCTGGCACTCAGACAAACAGGCAACATCAGATGAAAGGGGTATCACAGAGATCAAGATTAGAATGGAAGGGGCAAAAACTGCATTTTATAAAATGAAGAACACCTAATGCTTAGAGTATAAAGGGCAAACAGATAAAGAGCAAACAGATAAAGAGCAAACAGATAACTGTGTCAACAACAAACAACTTGACAAGTCAGTCAGCAAGACAAAGCCTGTAGAATCACATGTAGGAGTGATATCACATCATCACTGCAGTCTTCCAAGGAATGAAGACACTAAACAGTGTGCCCTGTCAGAGAGAGAAGACACTAAACAGTGTGTCCTGTCAGTGAGAGAAGACACTGAACAGTGTGTCCTGTCAGAGAGAGAAGACACTGAATAGTGTGTCCTGTCAGAGAGAGAAGACACTGAATAGTGTGCCCTGTCAGAGAGAGAAGACACTGAATAGTGTGCCCTGTCAGAGAGAGAAGACACTGAATAGTGTGCCCTGTCAGAGAGAGAAGACACTGAATAGTGTGTCCTGTCAGAGAGAGAAGACACTAAATAGTGTGCCCTGGCAGAGAGAGAAGACACTAAACAGTGTGTCCTGTCAGAGAGAGAAGACACTAAACAGTGTGCCCTTTCAGAGAGAGAAGACACTAAACAGTGTGTCCTGTCATAGAGAGAAGACACTAAACAGTGTGCCCTGTCAGAGAGAGAAGACACTGAACAGTGTGCCCTGTCAGAGAGAGAAGACACTAAACAGTGTGTCCTGTCAGAGAGAGAAGACACTAAACAGTGTGCCCTGTCAGAGAGAGAAGACACTGAATAGTGTGCCCTGTCAGAGAGAGAAGACACTGAATAGTGTGCCCTGTCAGAGAGAGAAGACACTGAATAGTGTGCCCTGTCAGAGAGAGAAGACACTGAATAGTGTGTCCTGTCAGAGAGAGAAGACACTGAATAGTGTGCCCTGGCAGAGAGAGAAGACACTGAATAGTGTGCCCTGTCAGAGAGAGAAGACCCTGAATAGTGTGTCCTGGCAGAGAAAGAAGACACTAAATAGTGTGCCCTGTCAGAGAGAGAAGACACTGAATAGTGTGTCCTGTCAGAGAGAGAAGACACTGAATAGTGTGCCCTGGCAGAGAGAGAAGACACTAAACAGTGTGCCCTGGCAGAGAGAGAAGACACTAAACAGTGTGCCCTGGCAGAGAGAGAAGACACTAAACAGTGTGTCCTGGCAGAGAGAGAAGACACTGAACAGTGTGCCCTGGCAGAGAGAGAAGACACTGAACAGTGTGTCCTGTCAGAGAGAGAAGACACTGAATAGTGTGTCCTGTCAGAGAGATAAAAAAACACTAAACAGTGTGTCCTGGCAGAGAGAGAAGACACTGAATAGTGTGCCCTGTCAGAGAGAGAAGACACTAAACAGTGTGCCCTGTCAGAGAGAGAAGACACTAAATAGTGTGCCCTGGCAGAGAGAGAAGACACTGAATAGTGTGTCCTGGCAGAGAGAGAAGACACTAAACAGTGTGCCCTGGCAGAGAGAGAAGACACTGAACAGTGTGCCCTGGCAGAGAGAGAAGACACTGAATAGTGTGCCCTGGCAGAGAGAGAAGACACTAAACAGTGTGTCCTGGCAGAGAGAGAAGACACTAAACAGTGTGCCCTGGCAGAGAGAGAAGACACTGAACAGTGTGCCCTGGCAGAGAGTAAACAGTTTGTCCTGGCAGAGAGAGAAGACACTGAACAGTGTGCCCTGGCAGAGAGAGAAGACACTGAACAGTGTGTCCTGTCAGAGAGAGAAGATACTGAATAGTGTGCCCTGTCAGAGAGAGAAGACACTAAACAGTGTGCCCTGTCAGAGAGAGAAGACACTGAATAGTGTGTCCTGTCAGAGAGAGAAGACACTGAATAGTGTGTCCTATCAGAGAGAGAAGACACTGAATAGTGTGTCCTGTCAGAGAGAGAAGACACTAAACAGTGTGCCCTGTCAGAGAGAGAAGACACTGAATAGTGTGTCCTGTCAGAGAGAGAAGACACTGAATAGTGTGTCCTATCAGAGAGAGAAGACACTGAATAGTGTGTCCTGTCAGAGAGAGAAGACACTGAACAGTGTGCCCTGGCAGAGAGAGAAGACACTAAACAGTGTGCCCTAGCAGAGAGAGAAGACACTAAACAGTGTGCCCTGTAAGAGAGAGAAGACACTAAACAGTGTGCCCTGTCAGAGAGAGAAGACACTAAACAGTGTGTCCTGTCAGAGAGAGAAGACACTAAACAGTGTGCCCTGTCAGAGAGAGAAGACACTAAACGGTGTGCCCTGTCAGAGAGAGAAGACACTAAACGGTGTGCTCTGTCAGAGAGAGAAGACACTAAACAGTGTGCCCCGTCAGAGAGAAAAATCACTGAATAGTGTGCCCTGTCAGAGAGAGAAATCACTGAATAGTGAGCCCTGTCAGAGAGAAAAATCACTGAATAGTGTGCCCTGTCAGAGAGAGAGGAAACTAAACTGTGTGCCCTGTCAGAGAGAGAAGACACTAAACAGTGTGCCCTGTCAGAGAGATAAAGCACTAAACAGTGTGCCCTGTCAGAGAGAGAAATCACTGAATAGTGTGCCCTGTCAGAGAGAGAAGACACTAAACAGTGTGCCCTGTCAGAGAGAGAAATCACTGAATAGTGTGCCCTGTCAGAGAGAGAAGACACTAAACAGTGTGCCCTGTCAGAGAGAGAAATCACAGAACAGTGTGCCCTGTCAGAGAGAGAAATCACAAAACAGTGTGCCCTGTCAGAGAGAGAAATCACAGAACAGTGTGCCCTGTCAGAGAGAGAAATCACAGAACAGTGTGCCCTGTCAGAGAGAAATCACAGAGCTGTGTGCCCTGTCAGAGAGAGAAATGACTGAACTGTGTGCCCTGTCAGAGAGAAAAATAACTGAAGAATGTGCCCTTTTAGAGAGAGAAGACACTGAACAGTGTGCCCTGGCAGAGAGAGAAGACACTGAACAGTGTGCCCTCTCGGGGGGGGGGGGGGGGGAGAGAAAGAAAGAAACCAAACAGTGTGCTCTGGCAGAGAGAGATAAACCAAACAGTGTGCCCTGGCAGAGAGAGAAGACACTGAAGAATGTGCCCTGGCAGAGAGAGAAAACACTCAAGAATGTGCCCCGGCAGAGAGAGAAAACACTGAACAGTGTGCCCTGGCAGAGAGAGAAATCACAGAACAGTGTGCCCTTGTGTGGGGGAGGGAAGGAGGGAGGGGGGGGGAAGAGAGAGAGGGGGGGAGAGAGAGAGAGAGAGGGGGAGAGAGAGAGAGAGAGAGAGAGAGAGAGAGAGAGAGAGAGAGAGAGAGAGAGAGAGAGAGAGAAATCAAACAGTGTGAAGAGAGAGAGAAATTAAACAGTGTGCTCTGGAAGAGAAAGAAACTAAACAGTGTGCTCCGGCGGAGAAATTATGGTACCTGCCTCAGGATTATAGTTTCCAGTTCAAATCCTAGCACAGGACTGTTTTTGTTTTAAACAACCAGTAATTACTAAAGATGGGCACATTTACCTGATCTCTAGTGAGCTGGTTGCCTGGCCTTCTCGGATAATGCAAATTATTGAGGGTATAATGGAGGTTACAACAGCTGGAAGTCACAAAGAGCAGGCCATGTGAAAAATTCTCTGGCTAAATTATAAAGAAAAATAACCCATTCATGGGTAGGTGAGATGTGGTACCTTTGCTATAATCTATCTACTGGAAGCAAACAGTTCACAAAATCATGCCACGGTTGGACACAATGACCATCCAGGTGCAAAGCTACACATGACCGATTTCCCTGGGAAAATGAACAGAGAAGAGGAGGGTTGGGAAATGTGAACCAGTTCTAAATCATGCAGTGCCGACCTCAAATGTGTCTACAACTTCAAGTACCACAATCTGATTGCAAACAGACATAATGCGCCCAACTTTCACAGTAAGAAAACTGTAACACTTAAATACTGACCATTTCTTCAGGATGTCGAGTCTTATCATGAAGAAGCTCCTCGATCTCTTCGAACTCATCATCCTCCAGGTCCACACCTGACAATCTGGCAGCTCGTGCCATGAAATAGGGAGGCAACTCTCCTATAGCTGTGCCAGCCCCCTGGTAATGGAAGAGAACAAATCAACCTGCAGCTGTTTACTGGGACATAATCTACAGGGAAGGTGGAGAAGAGTATAGCCTTATGTAAGGAAAACACTTGGTCAGAAAGGCAGAAGAAACAGAAAGATGTCTGTTGGAAGCTGAAACAGCTGAGCTGATTTAAGAACTGACATCACAATTCTCTGGATATTCTCATATGCACTCCATCCCCATCTTCAGCAGCCAGCGAAGAGTTCCTCTGAGTCCAGAGCGTGGGTCAGATTCCCTGATCCCTCGCTGCCTCACCATTTGTTCTAGACCACAGTGATCTATCTGTGCTTGTGCTTTATCTCTTGATCCGAAAAGGCCTTGACCACATCTAGCTTGTCATGCATCAATCAACCACCCATTTTCTCAACACCAGCCAAGCTTGTCATGCATCAATCAACCACCCAGTGGCGCAACACCAGCCAAGCTTGTCATGCATCAATCAACCACCCAGTGGCGCAACACCAGCCAATCTTGTCATGCATCAATCAACCACCCAGTGGCGCAACACCAGCCAATCTGTCCGTCTGTTCATTTCGCAACATATCTGCATAACCAGGAGAAAAGGTCCAATAGAAGCTAACAACCGGTGCCTTTCAAGCTATGCTTACTACCCAGCTTGGAACATGCCATTCCCTGCAGGCGTCTGTGAGTGTTTTACAATCATAACATGTGTGTGCTGTTTTAAAGCCAGCAGAAAGCCGTTGTGACTGCCTCCACTGCAATTCTCAAAACAACTAAGAAACAAATACAAAAAACATCAAAATATCAGATGCCTGCCAATGTTCCACACGAGGAATCTGAAATAGTTCAGAGAGTCAAGATTGTTGATGTCTGCTTCCAACAAGGTATCAAAGATGGAGAATTGTTATCACTGACGTCTGCTTCCAACAAGGTATCAAAGATGGAGAATTGTTATCACTGACGTCTGCTTCCAACAAGGTATCAAAGATGGAAAATTGTTATCACTGATGTCTGCTCCATCTGGAACTTGTGCTTACTTAGAAACTACACAGGGTTAAAGCTGACACACAGACTGTCTAGACTCCAATAATAAACTGTTAACATTACCTACATGAACTTCCTCCACTCAAACAGGAATAACAGCAGTTCACAAAGTTTTCCTGTCACTGGTAGCAACCACCAACTTGTACACAAAGACAAAGAATATTTGAGTTGTAGCTTAGAACTAGCAAGGGGTTCTAAAACTACTGCACTCACCCACATGATTGCTTCCAGGCGCACCTTGCTCATGATGACCCACAGGGACATGTGACGGGTGTCCTGTGTCTCTGGACACACAATTCTGGAGGTCAACACAAACACAGAGAATAATATCAGTGCAAATTTCACAACATGACATGTAAAATAACTGATATAAACACAACAAGCCATGTAATGTACGTGATATAACACAACATGTCAAATAAAATACCTGATATAAACACAACAAGACATTAACATTGCTGATAAAAACACAACATGCCATGTAACATTTCTGATATAAACACAACATGCCATGTAACATTTCTGATATAAACACAACATGCCATGTAACCTATCTGATATAAACACAACATGCCATGTAACCTATCTGATATAAACACAACATGCCATGTAACCTATCTGATATAAACACAACATGCCATTTAACATTCTTCATATAAACATAACATGGCATGTAACATTCCTGATATAAACACAACATGGCATGTAACATTCTTGATAAAAACACAACATGCCAGGTAACATTCTTGATATAAACACAACATGGCATGTAAAATTCTGGATAGAAACACAACATGGCATGTAACATACCTGACATAAACACAACATGTCATGTAACATGCCTGACATAAACACAACATGCCATGTAACATGCCTGACATAAACACAACATGGTATGTAACATTCTTGATATAAACACAACATGGCATGTAACATTCTTGATATAAACACAACATGGCATGTAACAATCTTGATAGAAACACAACAAGGCATGTAACATACCTGACATAAACACAACATGCTATGTAACATTCTTGATGTAAACACAACAAGTCAAGTAACATACCTGACATAAACACAACATGCCATGTAACATTCCTGATATAATCACAACATGGCATGTAACATACCTGATATAAACTAACACTAACAGCGCAGATAAAATGAGTGCCTTGCCAAACTGATGGCTAAAACCAGGTGTTTAGTTGGATGACTGGTAAAAGTTATTTTATTATTTTCAATTCATTCTTTGAATGTTAACACAGCAACTACCCCTTAAATGATTGACTTGTTTTGCATATCCACATCCTAGCACATCAATCCGCCCCATTCGTGCTTCATCCTCTGATACATCAGTCGTATCAGGGTCGCCATGCTCTCTGTACACAGTAGAAGTTGTTTAGCTTATCTTCTCTCTTTGCCCTACAACCGGTGTCTCCATGCTTGACCTGGTTTCATACCGATTTTCACTGAACAGTTCATCATCTCTGGAATGTAGCTAATTCAGTATGTCTACGATGGCCATCTGTCTTCCTTTTCCTCCACAAGCTTATGCAGACACAGCAAGTCTGTTGACTCATTTCCTCTCACCCCCCCCCCCCCCAGCGTGTACAGCCAAGAGCAGCGGTTCTAGACCTGCTGATCGTGGCCCTTTTTTTTTGGGGGGGGGGGGGTCGAATGACCCTTTCACCTAACACCATGGGAAAACACATATTCACTGAAGTTATGAAGGAAAATAATTATTCGGGGGTCACCACAACGTGAGTGAACTGTATTAAAGGGTCGCTACAACATGAGGGAACTGTATTAAAGGGTCGCCACAACGTGAGTGAACTGTATTAAAGGGTCGCTACAACATGAGGGAACTGTATTAAAGGGTCGCTACAACATGAGGGAACTGTATTAAAGGGTCGCTACAACATGAGGGAACTGTATTAAAGGGTCGCTACAACATGAGGGAACTGTATTAAAGGGTCGCTACAACATGAGGGAACTGTATTAAAGGGTCGCTACAACATGAGGGAACTGTATTAAAGGGTCGCTACAACATGAGGGAACTGTATTAAAGGGTCGCCACAACATGAGGGAACTGTATTAAAGGGTCGCCACAACGTGAGGGAACTGCATTAAAGGGTCGCCACAACGTGAGTGAACTGTATTAAAGGGTCGCTACAACATGAGGAACTGTATTAAAGGGTCGCCACAACATGAGGGAACTGTATTAAAGGGTCGCTACAACATGAGGGAACTGTATTAAAGGGTCGCTACAACATGAGGTAACTGTATTAAAGGGTCGCCACAACGTGAGGGAACTGTATTAAAGGGTCGCCACAACGTGAGTGAACTGTATTAAAGGGTCGCTACAACATGAGGAACTGTATTAAAGGGTTGCTACAACATGAGGGAACTGTATTAAGGGGTTGCTACAACATGAGGGAACTGTATTAAAGGGTCGCTACAACATGAGGGAACTGTATTAAAGGGTCGCTACAACATGAGGGAACTGTATTAAAAGGTCGCTACAACATGAGGGAACTGTATTAAAGGGTCGCTACAACATGAGGGAACTGTATTAAAGGGTCGCTACAACATGAGGGAACTGTATTAAAGGGTCGCTACAACATGAGGGAACTGTATTAAAGGGTCGCTACAACATGAGGGAACTGTATTAAAAGGTCGCTACAACATGAGGGAACTGTATTAAAGGGTCGCTACAACATGAGGGAACTGTATTAAAGGGTCGCTACAACATGAGGGAACTGTATTAAAGGGTCGCTACAACATGAGGAACTGTATTAAAGGGTTGCTACAACATGAGGGAACTGTATTAAAGGGTCGCTACAACATGAGGGAACTGTATTAAAGGGTCGCTACAACATGAGGAACTGTATTAAAGGGTCGCTACAACATGAGGGAACTGTATTAAAGGGTCGCCACAACATGAGGGAACTGTATTAAAGGGTCGCTACAACATGAGGGAACTGTATTAAAGGGTCGCCACAACATGAGGGAACTGTATTAAAGGGTCGCTACAACATGAGGGAACTGTATTAAAAGGTCGCTACAACATGAGGGAACTGTATTAAAGGGTCGCTACAACATGAGGGAACTGTATTAAAGGGTCGCTACAACATGAGGGAACTGTATTAAAGGGTCGCTACAACATGAGGAACTGTATTAAAGGGTTGCTACAACATGAGGGAACTGTATTAAAGGGTCGCTACAACATGAGGGAACTGTATTAAAGGGTCGCTACAACATGAGGAACTGTATTAAAGGGTCGCTACAACATGAGGGAACTGTATTAAAGGGTCGCTACAACATGAGGGAACTGTATTAAAGGGTCGCCACAACATGAGGGAACTGTATTAAAGGGTCGCTACAACATGAGGGAACTGTATTAAAGGGTCGCCACAACATGAGGGAACTGTATTAAAGGGTCGCTACAACATGAGGAACTGTATTAAAGGGTCGCTACAACATGAGGGAACTGTATTAAAGGGTCGCCACAACATGAGGAACTGTATTAAAGGGTCGCTACAACATGAGGAACTGTATTAAAGGGTCGCTACAACATGAGGAACTGTATTAAAGGGTCGCTACAACATGAGGAACTGTATTAAAGAGTGGCAGCATTAGAAAGGTTGAGAGCCACTGGCCAAGAGAGTTTTGATAGGCTGGGACTTCTGCATGTTGTCAACTCAATCTAGTCAAGAGTTTGCCAGTTCAGATCTTCTTAGGCTAAGCCATTCCCTACCAGTCATTCCCTACCAGCCATTCCCTACTAGTCATTCCCTACCAGTCATTCCCTACCAGTCATTCCCTACCAGTCATTCCCTACCAGTCATTTCCTACCAGTCATTCCCTACTAGTCATTCCCTACCAGTGTGTGCGTGAGCTGCTTTGTGTTTCCCCAGCCATGCAAGTGCACCCAGGACAACTTCAGTCTCCATCTACATATTAAAGTAGCTAACCTGAAGCACTGACTTTAGTGATAACAATCTTTTTTCAATGTTAAATAAAAGGTAACAAACTGTTTCCATGTAAAGCTCTCTTCCATTCAGGTTTCTGTTCTAAATCCGTCGCAGCTCTCCATGACCTGAAATGTTCACATCCTGTTTGTCTGCAGAACAGAATTTTCAAAGCTTTAACTCCATCCCAGTTCTGCTGTGCTTGCCCTTAAAAGGGTGGTTGGCATGTTGTGGTTTACAGCTAGGCTGTGATATCTGCGCCTGTCAGCCTAACATATTAGATTTAAGCTCAGCCTTAATTAGTCTCCTTCTACAACATGCTTGCTGGGGGGGGGGGGGGAGGAGGGGGGGAGTGGGTGTATCCACCCCACCCACCACTGGGTTTCAGAACCCACATGGGAAAATCACAAACCCAGACAACAACAATGACACTGCTATAACCCAACCTCTGTAACAGTGACCTATGACCAAACCGGCGGCCACCAATCAAATTGTACTTACTCATTCGGATAAGGAGGCTCGGGGAAGTTCACAGACTTGCACTCGTAGGCTGCCAGTGTGACAGCAGCAATGTGGGGACCCTGAAGATTACAATAAAGGAATCAGCACAATGAAATCTGGACAATCAACTATCGGGCTGACACAATGAAATCTGGACAATCAACAATCGGGCTGACACAATGAAATCTGGACAATCAACTATCGGACTGACACAATGAAATCTGGACAATCAACAATCGGGCTGACACAATGAAATCTGGACAATCAACAATCGGGCTGACACAATGAAATCTGGACAATCAACTATCGGACTGACACAATGAAATCTGGACAATCAACAAGCGGGGTGACAATTAAATCTGGACAATCAACAAGCAGGGTGACACAATTAAATCTGGACAATCAACAATCGGGCTGACACAATGAAATCTGGACAATCAACTATCGGACTAACACAATGAAATCTGGACAATCAACTATCGGACTGACACAATGAAATCTGGACAATCAACCATCGGGCTGACACAATGAAATCTGACAATCAACAATCGGGTTGATACACTGAAATCTGGACAATCAACAAGCGGGGTGACACAATTAAATCTGGACAATCAACAATCGGGTTGATACACTGAAATCTGGACAATCAACTTATGGGTTGATACACTGGAGATGTGAATATACAAAGGAATTTATCATATCAATGGGTGGGGGTGTAGGGCCAACAAATAATGAAATACAAACATTTCAGAGAGACTGGAAATGAAAAGAGAGTTGAAGAAAGAAATAATTAGTCAACAGATCATCCGTCCTGCATATGCAAACATCCAGTGCCCAGATCTCAGCAAACATCCAGTTCTTAAGGCTCAGATCTCAGCAAACATCTAGTTCATAGTGCTCAGATCTCAGCAAACATCCAGTTCATAAGTGCCGAGATCTCAGCAAACATCCAGTTCATAAGTGCTCAGATCTCAGCAAACATCCAGTTCATAAGTGCTCAGATCTCAGCAAACATCCAGTTCATAAATGCCCAGATCTCAGCAAACATCCAGTTCACAAGTGCCCAGATCTCAGCAAACATCTAGTTCACAAGTGCTCAGATCTCAGCAAACATCCAGTTCATAAGTGCCCAGATCTCAGCAAACATCCAGTTCATAAGTGCTCAGATCTCAGCAAACATCCAGTTCATAAGTGCTCAGATCTCAGCAAACATCCAGTTCATAAGTGCTCAGATCTCATCCTTAGTTTATCCCCCAGCATGCAGCAATATGGTGATGAAAGAAATGAGTGCGTGGGGTTTTATGGCAAAAGCAAATGGAAAGTGTCTGAAAACAGAGAGCCTCGAGTGTAACATAACAAAATCCAGAATGATGTAACATCACAACATCCAGAATGATGTAACATCACAAATCCAGAATGAGAATGGAGGTAGAGGCAGTTACAGCATTTTTCTCATATGGCTGGACACCAGCACAGCCCAACATATAACTGTAAAAGATTCACAGAGCATACTTCAGAAAAACAGAAACTGGTCTCCTACACATAGTGGCTTACAACGCTTGATAAGACTCATATCAGGCTCATTTTATGGATTTATGTCCAGGACATTCAGGTGTGTAGGGTAATGAGCAAGCTGATAGATTGGCTGCTGCGGCTTTTCTGGGTGGTGAGCTACATTATGGTAAAGCAAAAGTGTTAAAGGCAGAACAGACCAAGTATCCGTACACTGACAGACTCATTCAGCAAGGGGCTGAGCAGAGTGTCTGGAAGATAGTCAACACTGTGGGGAAAACACAGGCAGACTTTTCATTACACTTTAATTGGTATTATTTGCATACTGACTCTTTGTTGGCTCCTGAGGAAGGAGGCGGAGCAGATGTGGGAATGTCCCAAGTGTAGGGGTGTCAATTCTGGATTCATTCATTCGTTCATTTTTTCAGAAATAAAAGAGACAAGTGAAGATTCTGGCCACATTAAAATACATGAGCCTCATAAAAACCTTATTGAGAGAAACTGATTGCCTGTGAGTAGTAATACTTTGTGCACTACATTATTCTTAATCAAAGTAATCAATCAAAATAACTATTTATCCTCCTATGGGTAGAGTGACAAGCATCGTTTGAGAGGTCCCCAGGGTAAGTACCCTTTGGATAATTCTCTAGGAAGTGCAGATGTGTTGGGAAACAAACAGGCTGACAGAGCGGTTGCTTCAGCATCACTTGATGATAGACTGAAACAATGAATAACCTTTCCTGATGCAGGACAAGTGACAAGCTACAAGTTATCAAGGCCCTTGGTGAGCAACCTGAAGAGAATGCTGCATCGCAGTGTGGCCAGGGGGATTTGACTGGCACTAAATACTCGGGGGAAAGGCGAGAAGGACATTCAATCACACCGGCTGCTGCAGACAGGGATGGGGCACATACAGGAATGTCCTGCCTGCCAAACCTCTAGCAGATGCTGTGTGTGACTGGTTGGAATTTTACACTGTGCATGTTTGGTTAGTGTTATGATTCCTTACTTGCACTTTAAGCCCTGCAATATTTAGGAAAACAAAGCAATTTCTTAAAATGGAACACAATACTTACCAAATAAAGAAGAAAAGTGTGCAACCCCGTCCCTAACCCAACGGATGATAAAATCCCCAATCCAATCCAATAGGCACACCACAGAAGCTTTTTTTCTACGGATTGGACAACCTGAAAACAGTTAATAAAATACTTAGACAGGCTTCACTGTACTCGACTTAGAATACTTAACACTAACATCAAAACATCACTGCTGTATGCATCAGTAACACAGAGATTAACTCAAACAGTAAGTAATAAATTAGACTCAACCAGCAAGTTAGCAGAATGGAAGGAATCAACTGGAATGGCAGAATGACTACCATGGTATATATTAGAGAACTAAACAACTTCCAGCACATCAAGAGGTGGAGAAACCCACTCTATCATGATGACAAACTCTGCTCTACACCAGACACCTGAAGAAGACAGTCTCCCACGCAGCACATTGTCACAAACACAATCTCCCACGCAGCACATTGTCACAAACGCAATCTCCCACTCAGCACATTGTCATAAACACAATCTCCCACGCAGCACATTGTCACAAACACAATCTCCCACGCAGCACATTGTCACAAACACAATCTCCCACGCAGCACATTGTCACAAACACAATCTCCCACGCAGCACATTGTCACAAACACAATCTCTCACGCAGCACATTGTCACAAACACAATCTCCCACGCAGCACATTGTCACAAACACAATCTCCCACGCAGCACATTGTCACAAACACAATCTCCCACGCAGCACATTGTCACAAACACAATCTCCCACGCAGCACATTGTCACAAACACAATCTCCCACACAACACATTGTCACAAACACAATCTCCCACACAACACATTGTCACAAACACAATCTCCCACACAGCACATTGTCACAAACACAATCTCCCACGCAGCACATTGTCACAAACACAATCTCCCACACAGCACATTGTCACAAACACAATCTCCCACGCAGCACATTGTCACAAACACAATCTCCCACACAACACATTGTCACAAACACAATCTCCCACACAGCACATTGTCACAAACACAATCTCCCACACAACACATACCTTCTGATGGGGTCCCTCCATGTGGTAGATTATGTAGGCGACTATCAACATCAGAACAGTTAAAGCAACAGATTTCTTTCTCTTGTATAACCTTTACAGACAACAAAAAAACAATTTAAAGAACAGGAAAGTTACAAAGACCATCACTGTAAACATCATTCTCTTATACCGTCCCCTTCTTCACCATTTTGAGCCCGTGAGGTTCATTGCTGCAGATATCACTCTGCAGCTGCACTCACCTCCACTCATCTCTGACTGGCCTTCTCTTTCCCACTGGTGACTCCAATGTTTTGCAAGTCTGACTGTATACTATCTCTCCATCACCTTGTTTGTTAACCCATCTCATAGTCTACTCACATTCAACCCTTCAAAGGCCTCAGTAACGTGGTTCTCCTTGAATACGCATTAGTCAGGGCAGACTTATCATCAGTGGCAAGCAGGGACAAAATTCTGATGAGAACAAACCTGATGACATATCTTGGAGTGAGGTTTGATTGTAGTCTTGCCTTCAAAGAACACATTGACCACTCCAAGGCCTGTCAACAATCAAGGTCCTGCCTGGCCGCTGCCAATACTGAGCAGAGACTGCTGCTGTCTCTGTTCCAGGAGCTGGCTCTTGCTTCCATCAAATATACTTTAGCCTGTCTCACTCTCAGTTATACCTAGACCCAAAGACTCAAAAAAGTGTAAAATGAAGCCATACGCATTATTCTTAGGACACAAGGTACACCTCTTGTGTATCAATGAGATATCTTCTTGACTTCCCTATAATAAAAGAGATAACAGGCTGACCAGTTCTGCCCGAGTGGCAGCAGATGGCCAGCCTATAGATCGTACTGACACTGTGAATGCCATCAGAGAGACAGGATGATCTGAGGATGTCTGCAGCAGCAGATGGCCAGCCTATAGATTGTACTGACGCTGTGAATGCCATCAGAGAGACAGGATGATCTGAAGATGTCTGCAGCAGCAGATGGCCAGCCTATAGATTGTACTGACACTGTGAATGCCATCAGAGAGACAGGATGATCTGAGGATGTCTGCAGCAGCAGATGGCCAGCCTATAGATTGTACTGATACTGTGAATGCCATCAGAGAGACAGGATGATCTGAGGATGTCTGCAGCAGCAGATGGCCAGCCTATAGATTGTACTGACACTGTGAATGCCATTAGAGAGACAGGATGATCTGAGGATGTCTGCAGCAGCAGATGGCCAGCCTATAGATTGTACTGACGCTGTGAATGCCATCAGAGAGACAGGATGATCTGAGGATGTCTGCAGCAGCAGATGGCCAGCCTATAGATTGTACTGACACTGTGAATGCCATAAGAGAGGCAGGATGACCTGAGGATGTCTGCAGCAGCATGTCCACATCACTGCTAAGAATATGAGAATTGGGAGTCAAGACTGGCACCGCCAAGCACAAGAAGCACACCCGACATATATGAAGTCTTGTGAACCAGCAAAGAACAGGCATTATTAACTGCAGGACGCTGATGTACATGCTGAATGGGGGGAATCTGAGCACCTATGGATGTGTCCGGAGTGCTGTGAAGATAAACTCATAAGTCCCATTCATCTTGTTTGTATATGTGGCTGTTGCCTCTGTTAGCTCTACTATCTCCATATGTCCTAGCCATGGTAGTCTAGTAACCTGCATGATGCCAGTAGTAAGTGATCATTGACACAGGTTATACATTTCCCTGCTGCTTTTCATTATCCATTCTCCGCTGCTTGCAACTTAAATGGGTCCATTCTTTTATACGACAAACAAATTCACATGTACCGGTCAGCATTCAAACAAGTAGCAAAAAAACAAAGAAGATAAGAGTATGTTTAGCAATAAAGAGTACACACTAGACAGAATAAAAACAGAAAGCTATAATAACTATACCGGGAATCGAACCCGTTGCCTCCAAATTATGACAGCCGGTCCCTGCAAGAACAATTACACTTTTTAAAAAATCAGAGAAGTCCTATACAGCTGTCAGCAAAGGTGTATCTGTTGTGTGATGAATCTGTGCTGAACTGAGAACAGGTATGCAGGCCAGGGAAATCATGAGAAAGGTCAACAGGACCCGAGTTAACACTCATCATGAGAATCGGCACGACTTAGCACACGGAGGTGAAGCTAGGGTCAGCATGAGTTCGGTCAAGCCCCGGAAATAATCGCTGTGGGTTCCATGTATCTGCGGAAGCTCACAGAACTCTGATTCATGGAATGAACTTGGGCAGGTATCAAGAATAAGTCATTTGAGAGGAGATTCTCTTTATGCGAGGATGTGCGAAGTCCTTCGCCAGTCGAGCAAGCAATCATTCTACAGCGGGGACGTGATTGTTCCTCATCGATGTTCTGTCTCATGACTGTGTGTTAGGGACTCCGTAACTGGAGTCTCTAACCAGTTCATTGTGTAGGATTCCTTGTTATTTTCTGACTCGCAACTATGTGTCGTGGAGACGTATGAAGTGATTAACGTCTGCAGATAGTTCAATATATATGTACCTGTATAATGCAATGTTTTATTATTTGCGGCAAGGCCGAGTGGGTGAACTGCTAGCCCTAGTTTGAGTAACACAGAGGTGGTGAAAGCTCGTGGATCCAGGGTCGGCAGCAAGATTGTGCTGGGTTCAAGAGCACTGCTTGTAATTCAGGTGAAGGATATGGAGCACATTGTGTAATGCAAGCTCTTGAAGCCATTAGCAGGGTGAAGACTGTCTCCTCTTGTGATTTGCACTGTTGTATCCTTATGTGTGCGTGCTGGTAGGCACCAAGACTGTCTCTTGTGATTTGCACTGTTGTATCCTTATGTGTGCGTGCTGGTAGGTACCAAGACTGTCTCTTGTGATTTGCACTGTTGTATCCTTATGTGTGCGTGCTGGTAGGTACCAAGACTGTCTCTTGTGATTTGCACTGTTGTATCCTTATGTGTGCGTGCTGGTAGGTACCAAGACTGTCTCTTGTGATTTGCACTGTTGTATCCTTATGTGTGCGTGCTGGTAGGCACCAAGACTGTCTCTTGTGATTTGCACTGTTGTATCCTTATGTGTGCGTGCTGGTAGGTACCAAGACTGTCTCTTGTGATTTGCACTGTTGTATCCTTATGTGTGCGTGCTGGTAGGTACCAAGACTGTCTCTTGTGATTTGCACTGTTGTATCCTTATGTGTGCGTGCTGGTAGGCACCAAGACTGTCTCTTGTGATTTGCACTGTTGTATCCTTATGTGTGCGTGCTGGTAGGCACCAAGACTGTCTCTTGTGATTTGCACTGTTGTATCCTTATGTGTGCGTGCTGGTAGGTACCAAGACTGTCTCTTGTGATTTGCACTGTTGTATCCTTATGTGTGCGTGCTGGTAGGTACCAAGACTGTCTCTTGTGATTTGCACTGTTGTATCCTTATGTGTGCGTGCTGGTAGGCACCAAGACTGTCTCTTGTGATTTGCACTGTTGTATCCTTATGTGTGCGTGCTGGTAGGTACCAAGACTGTCTCTTGTGATTTGCACTGTTGTATCCTTATGTGTGCGTGCTGGTAGGTACCAAGACTGTCTCTTGTGATTTGCACTGTTGTATCCTTATGTGTGCGTGCTGGTAGGTACCAAGACTGTCTCTTGTGATTTGCACTGTTGTATCCTTATGTGTGCGTGCTGGTAGGTACCAAGACTGTCTCTTGTGATTTGCACTGTTGTATCCTTATGTGTGCGTGCTGGTAGGTACCATTGTTTTGTCAAATAAATATACTATCCATGAGCAGAGTGTTGAGTTGTGCTGATCTAACAGTGTTACACCTCGTGTCGTGAACGCTAATCATTATCACCTAGATAATGTGTCAAGTATGACAGAGATAGCTCCCCTCCTGCATTAAACAGCATCATCCATCTGAATGCACAGAGAGGGCATATGTACAGAGTTTGTATGTAGACATGGGAGAAGGTCAGTAGCTGACCACAATGTATGTTAACCAACCACATAATAAACATATCAGACTGAAATGCTTTGTTGATCAACAAATGAATTTGTGCAGTAGGTTATCTTACCACTATACTGTTATGCCAATGTTATGTTATCACAATATTGTTATGTTATCACAACTGATGTCACTACATTGCAAGGAAGGAAGAATATATCATTCATTTCTTATTTCACAGCGCCTTTGCCACACGGAAAATACACTGTATTATTCTAATTGCAGTTCACATGAATATCACTTCTCGGGTCCATAAAGGCAGCACACAACAGCAACTGTGTAAGCTGGCTTACATTTCCAAGAAGCCACTCTGTGAGCTGGCATACATGTCCAAGAAGCCACTAAGTAATTAGAATTTAAAGTTGAGAAGACTGACTTCACTGTACTGTGTTTTATCCAATATGGCTGAGTCTCTGTCTGCAGGATGGGTAGCCACTTGCCCAGAATGTTGCATAAAGCATGAACTCTGCACTGAAAATAACTGGCATGCTACTGGCTAGCTCACCCCATAAAACAGGGCTATTCAACTAAGTTTATTCTGGTGCCAAAATGTTGAAATGGGAATTGTCACGGGCCAGAGCCGCAGCATAGAAGGATCACTGACACAATACAAGTGGTGACGATCAGTGGGTCACCTGCCAGGCCTCCACAGGCAAAATCTGGCCCGCAGGTCGCCAGGTAAAGAGCCCTGCCATTGACAAACCGTATCTGCAACATATAGCCAATCATAAACAACCCTAACATTGACAAACCGTATCTGCCACATATAGCCAATCATGAACAACCCTACCATTGACAAACCGTATCTGCAACATATAGCCAACCATGAACAACCCTACCATTGACAAACCGTATCTGCAACATATAGCCAATCATAAACAACCCTACCATTGACAAACCGTATCTGCAACATATAGCCAATCATGAACAACCCTGCCATTGACAAACCGTATCTGCAACATATAGCCAATCATGAACAACCCTAACTTATATCCAATCATGAACAACCCTACAAGGCTGTCAGTTAGCTGAGGACCTACATTATATTAAGAGATGAATGACGAAAGAAAAATAACTCCGGTTGACAACAAACACGAAAACACCGTAAACATGATTACCTGTTAGCTAAAACTGATGTAAGTGCCACCGTTTCATACACAAAATACTGCAAGGTCAACACAGGTCGCCTCCACAAGACGATCTTCTCCCGCTCCTTCCTTTCCATCTCTAAGGTCAGGGTCATGCTGTGAAAGCTGACCTCCGAGGGTGATGTGTGTATCCCGTTGGTGGTTTTCCGTTGGCGAAGGCTGGTGTCAGTTTCGGCAACCGAGGGACTGCTGTTCTTGGCCATGATACCAGCTGCAGTGCTTCGCTGGTTGTGATGGCTCTGGATTCGACTTATCTAAATAAAACAGGAAATTATTGGACCCAAGTGAGCATCATATTTTAATCACAGCTGTTTAATTTATATCCACCGTACAGGATAAAGAATATCTTATACACTGCCCCCTAGTCAATTGTTGTTCTGTATTCAGTGTGTGCCAAGTACCTACTCCAGCCTGTATCACTTATATGGGATAGTGTGCTTAAGGTCTTCAAAGGTGTATTCATAATGTTTCTTACACCTGCCATTTCTGCGGGCCAGCTTTCTTCTCTCCGGCATGAAAAATCTCAGTCATCTTTCAGGTGTTTGCTTCTGTACACCAAACCAATCTAGGCTGAAGTGTCCCATTCTGAGTCTGAACATAGATCTATAAGTTTCTGTTGAGTGTATTTAAATTGTCATGCTCTGGTCTGTCATTTTTCAGTTTGCCTTGAAAGATTGCTTTAAGAATGTCTTTGTTCATTAATGGCTTTATTCTGCAGCAAATTTTCTGATGGTAAGTTAGGCAGCCTCACAACAACTTCATCATTCACATGTTACAATTGGGCATGATAAATTAGTGTGGCCATCTTGGCTTCCCTTGTGGGTTCTCGTAGACACACGCAGGTTTGAGAACACACAGGGAAGATAAACAGAGTAATGAAGACAAACGTGCTGATTGACTGGTTGTAAACCACCACCCCCCCCCCCCCAAAGTTTTAACTCTTAACTTTGATGAACTGACACCTCATTGTCTAGCCTAGTGGTTTCCGATTAGATAAAACGTGCAGACCCTCTCATTTTCGGTCTGCCACAAACCCCAGACTTTTTAATTGTCATACACTTTATAAATATCAGAACTGAAAAAAAAGGACTGCATTCTAAAACTGAAGGTTAAATTTGTTTCCCTGACTTCATGGGCGTTCGCAGACGACCAAATGGGAAAAAACTGGCCTAGACTCTAAAAAGAGCTTATATCTATCGCAGACATGTTGGTGTACTTTTCTTCCATCCAGTGACAATATACCATCTCCATGGTGACTGTGATGCACAGCTTTCCTTCCCCTCTCCAAGCTCAGAGACTTTCCCAGTGTGCAGGAATGATACTGGAACTTCAAACTTGCTGGCAGACAGTTGTAAAAGTAAGCAGAGCATGAACAACAAAGCACAATCTGGGAGTTGGTCTGGATGGATGGTTTACCACGAAGTGATCAATATTTTGTCGCTGTCCGGAGACTAAAGCAAATACATGGCCAGGATAAACACCAGCTTACCAGCAGAGCTGGCTTGCCTCAAAAGAAGCTAGCAATCAACATTATCTGGCATGACAGACAGGTAGGCTAGAAGGTCACAACAACAGGGAAGTGGGAGAGGGACAAAGGACAACATGCACAAAACACACACTGCAATTAGCTGGGAACATGCAAAGCTCATAAACAAACTTAACAGACGCTGTCAACTAAATGCTTGTTATGAGGACTGAAACAGTATTTCCCCCTCTACTTTGACCAACACGGTTAAGTAATTTCTCATGCATGGATCTAAAGGAAGTTCACACACACACACTAAAGGGTCATTCTTTAATTTCTTATGTGCAGAGCTAAGAGAAGCTGAAACAGATTGGCCAAGTCCATAATCATATGCGTCATCAACAAAAATCTGATCACATAAAGACATATTTATCAGTTATTTTAAAAATATACTAGAGACAAACAAGTATGGTGCAGACAAGTGTGGTGTATATGACAGACAAGTGTGGTATATATGACAGACAGACACAGTGTGGTGTATATGACAGACAGTCAGACAAGTGTGGTGTATATGACAGACAGACAAGTGTGGTGTATATGACAGACAGTCAGACAAGTGTGGTGTATATGACAGACAGACAAGTGTGGTGTATATGACAAACATACAAGTGTGGTGTTTATGACAGACAAGTGTGGTGTATATGACAGACAGACAAGTGTGGTGTATATGACAGACAGACAAGTGTGATGTATATGACTGACAAGTGTGGTGTATATGACAGACAGACAGACAAGCATTGTGTATCTGACAGATAGGTGTGGTGTAAATAACAGATAAATGGCTCACAATAGAAGCAAACTGTAGGGTTCATGCTTTGTGCAACGCTCTCTCCAGGCTGCCAGCTGCTCTGTGGAGACAGATCTCACCAGATGGGACACAACCCATCCAAACCAGACGTGACACAATCCACAGCAATTAAGTCGATCCAAGCATGACAAGACAAGATCCAGTGCAATGAAGGCAATCCTCCTATATATGTTTCTAACCCATCAAGTTCTGAGAGGCCTCAGCACCATATACTGAACAGACCTCACTGAGAGTAAGAGTCCTTTACCTCCTCACTTAAACAAACACTTCCAGCGTCAAACATGTGTTGCCAATAGAATAACGGCTATACATTCTGCTGCCAGGTTTTTCTGTAAGGTAGTTTATTTCCACATTCCTTGTACATAAGTATGTTAAAGCTGTTTTCATTTGTCCTGTCTTTTCTTTTCTATGCAGAAGTATGCAAGTCCTTTCCTGGCATACTTTCATTAGAACATGGGGGAAGGAGATGATACATACACAAGCATACGGTTGAAGCTTTTGTAGTCCCAGGTTAATGCTACTCAAGCTTGTTAGATCATGAGTAGTTAGTTATTCAAGTTACTACCTAAAGTAATAGATATTTGGGTGAAAGATGCAAACATCAGAACACAGACAGATTTAAAGCTAATGGTGGGTCAATGAGGGTTAACATAACAACCAAGCAGGGGAAAGTCGCTGGCAGTGGATAGGACATCAACTGAGATATAAGTGGTCCTATGGTCATCAAATATGAGGTGGGGTGGCCAGTTACCTTGCTCACCCCCTTTCCTTCCCCAGCAGTTCTGAGACTTATCTAGGCCATGGGAGTGTTGAGAAGTTTATGACAGACTAGCAACATTTCAGATGGTGACAAATATGCTAGGTCATTTTCTTTGTTAACTTAGATGAGACAGTTCTTCTGTCTTCACCCTTAACAAGTTGCTTATCAAGTTGTATTGTGGTTTACAGCTAGGATGTGATATCTCCACCTTTTAACCCAACACATCTGATCAGCAAAACCTTAATTAGTCATGTGCACAATGTGCTTGTTAAGTGGTGGCCCCTGCAGACCACACAGTGAGACAAGAGAGCCACACAGTGAGACAAGAGAGCCACACAGTGAGACAAGAGAGCCACACAGTGAGACAAGAGAGCCACACAGAGCCAATGCTGATGTATGGACAGTTGGCTGACTCATGACACATTATGTGCAAGCTACAAAACACACCATGTTTAGATCAAGGATGACAACACCAACGACAGATAAAAAGTGTAGAAAGATGTATCTTCAAATACATTTACTCATGACGACAACTGATTCCCCTACACCAGAATAAGACAATTGACATTGTTTGGGCAAACCATGACAAGGGAGAAAACTGAAGTAAATCATGACAATTAAATAGCTGGGTGGAAATAAAAGCAGAGGGAGACCAAGAAAGAGATGCTGGGCATCATAGCACGACAAAACATCTGCATCGGAAATGACTGGCATAACAGAGGAATCACATCTATGGACAAACATGGTTACCAAAACAATCCTGCCCCCTCGAAGGGTTGAACCCTGACCATGTCTCTGCATACAAGTGCACTAACTACCATGCCCCTGGATAAAGACAATAACAGTACTGCCAGAATTTCCTTTCAATGGAAACAGGTGGGAGATATATAAAAAAAATATAGAGAGGAGATCAATAAAGATAGGGAAGAATAAAAGGGAGGAAGTGGGAGAAGTTTCAGGAGATGACAAAGGAAAGAACAGCCAGTTCCCTGAGGGGCCACACTGCAGTTGGGGGGGGGGGGGGGGTGTGAAAGGACAGAAGACAAAAATATTATAGGATTCAAACCCAGACTCTTCTGAGCCTGAAGTGGACAAAGCAACCTCTCAACTATGGCACTTCCTACTGTACTGGCCTGTTTACTGACCAATGTGCTATCATGATATAACAATCAATACTTTACGTACATCCCCACAAACATATACACTGAAACACAAAATACTGACCAAATACCCCATATTCATGAAATATAAAAGCATGTGGTATGTGATGTGTTAGAACAAATAGCCCATATACATGGAATTAAAAAAAGCATGTGGTATGTGATGTTTTAGACCAAATAGCCCACATACATGGAATAAAAAAGCACGTGGTATGGGATGTGTTAGAACAAATACAAAGGAAATAAACACATAAATACAAAAGTTTAGAACTCAAAGCAACAAATTTCATTTTCTGCTCATTGTACAGAATGCATTCCGATGATTATTGTGAATATAATATAAATTGTTAGAAAAATATGTTAATATTCAGTTAGTCCAAGAAAGAAACACAACGAAAACCTGAAAAGAAAATTAGCATCTACAATTAATAAAGTTAAAGGGCTAGTACTCCCACTGTCGAAATAATCAGCAACAGGAATGGTGTGTGTCAGCAGCAACAGGAATGGTGTGTGTGAGCAGCAACAGGAATGGTGTGTGTCAGCAGCAACAGGAATGGTGTGTGTCAGCAGCAACAGGAATGGTGTGTGTCAGCAGCAACAGGAATGGTGTGTGTCAGCAGCAACAGGAATGGTGTGTGTCAGCAGCAACAGGAATGGTGTGTGTCAGCAGCAGCAGATGTCCTTCAAAATCTGCCAGGAGAGACTGACCACCCTGTGGTCTGTCCCAGAGTCAGTGACATCCTTTCTTTATTGAAATCATAATCAATACTGCTACTGCTGGTGTAAGCCAGGAGGGTTTTCACCAGGGTCAGGAAAATAAAATACTATTTGCTCAGGCGGTGGTCATTATGTGGTGGGCTTAACCCTACTGCCTGAGAAAGCACAAAACAGACACCAACTGGGTCCAGTCCCCAGTAAATGTTGTTTGTCTACTTGTCCAGACTGATTTATTATTTACAAGATGCAAAGATAATGGCTGAGCTTGTTGTATTACATTTAAT